CTCAAGTTATTTATAGATGACACACTTGTTGCTGTAATCCTCTTGTAATTTTCTAAAGTCCTTAGTCTTGGCCTCTAACTGTTCTTTCAATGGTTTCTGGCCTTTCCTAAGGGTGTATCGCTCATACCTAAGTTCCTCATTCTCTCTCTTTACTAATTCAAATTGCTTACGTAAAAATTTGACAGTGTTAATACAAGTTTGAGAGCAAGAAATTCCACTGACCTCTGGATTTGCAGGCTCTGGGGTGGTATGCACCATAAACGCGAATTGCAATTCCATCATCTCCGTCTCTGGGTCCACTTCAGCTTCTCCTTCTGGAATGTCATTGATCTGGGCAAGATCCGCATTTTCAGGTCCTAAAATGTTCATGGTCTGTATCTGGTCCTCCCAGTCAAACGACTGAGCCACCACAGCAAGATTAGCGGTTTGGTTTTTGATAGTAGCTCCCCTGCTGCTTCCTACGGGCACCATTGTTCTTTCGCTATTCTCCCTCCTATCTGGCTTCGGGAAATCTCTGGCAAAATGACCAGGCTCATGGCAGTTGAAGCATCTGAGTTTGCCCTTATTAAAGCCCACTTTCTTTTTAGCATTCATTCCCCAATTGTTCTACCAGTCTTCTTGGAGAACTGCTTTTCTCTAAACACGACCAGAACGATTTGCCAAGTAATATCCATCTTTTCAACATCCTCTGGATGGATTTGATCCAAGTCAGCAAAGGATAGTTGTGGAGGTAGCTCGCCAGCCACGAAAGCATTGTAGCAGTTTACAAGGCTAGTAGCTAAAGCCATGTTTTCATCACTTTCTTTGGGAGCATGAGCTGGAGCAGATGCTTTCGAAGAGGATGCAGCTTGTGGATAAGGCATTGACGATTGGACATTTAGCATGGGTGGAGTGACATAAGATGGTGGTTGAGAAGCAACAAACGGTTGAACTTGTGGGGTAGTGAAGGATGAAAATGCACTGTTAGATTGAATCCCAAGGTTGGCAGTTGAGTATGAATTCACGTGATTAATCTCCCTTTGCTTGTCGTCAAGATCACATGCTTTGATAATGGCCATTGTTTCGGCCAGACTGAGTCGGTTAAGATCTTTTTTTTCTTAATGACAGCAGCATTCAAATCCCATGCCTTTGGAAGAGAATTCAATATTTTCTTGTTGATTTCAGATCTTGGCAATGAAATCTCAGCCGAACTCATTTCAGTGGTCAATGTGATGAATCGTTGAAGTTGAGCTTTCAGGGTTTCTCCAAGAATGTAGTTGAACTTATTGAATTTTTGTCTGAGCATATCCTGGCGACTTTGTTTCATGTCTTCATTGCCTTCATAAACCTCGATTAGTGCCTCCCATAGAGCTTTTGCAGAAGTATACTCTCGGAAACCCTGCGCAATCTCTGGTGATAGAGCCATAGTGAGTGTGGCAAGTGCTTTCTCTTGCTGTTCAACTCTGTCAAAATCTTCTTCAGAATAGTCTTCAATATCCTTATCAGTAATTGTTCCATTCGGTAGAGTTGTGGTGATTTGGACGGGTCCTTTTAAGATACTTCTCCAGATTTTGAAGTCTTTCATTTTTATGTATTTCTCCATTCGGTATTTCCATTCTGGGAAGCCCTCAGCAGATAACAGTCTTGGAATGCATGTAGTTGTTCCCATAATGGAGTCAAGTTCTTGATGAATGGTGTTTTGAGATTCCTTTGTTTTTGTTTTTCTTGTTTTTTTTTATTTTTTTTTTTAATTTTCTAAACAACCAAACTAACAAAGAAAATACAACTGAAATTGTTCAATGACCAAAGGGGGTTTACTGTCGTAAATGGATCACGACCGTATACAGTAGTTCACGGTCGTACACGGTCAAGGATGAAGTTTCACGGTCAATGAGTGAAGGTTCTCGGTTAAGGATGGATCACGGTCAAAAATCAGTTCACGATCAAAAAATTTTGAATGGTTCACGGCCGTATACTAGATCACGGTCGTAATCACTTCAACGGTTTCAACCGTAAACACTTGGATTTCGATGGAAACAGCATATTTTGATTCTAATAGCCTTGAATCCTCGAACAAATGTAGAAATCCAACAATCAAGCTCGAATCACACACGAAAATGATGAGAACCTTGAGCCGTAAACACCAAAAACGAGTTTGACACCAGACTTGCTCTGATACCAATTGTAGAGTCCCAAATCCAGGAACCAAACCAATGATCAAACAATTAGATCAAGAAGATGAACAATCAAGCACAAGCACAAGAACAAAGAAGAAGAAAAGAATTAATCAAGCAATGCACATGTATTATAGCTGGGCCGCAAACACGTCTGGTACACCTTGACAATACACACGTACACCGTGAACTCTATCTGACAACGTCACTAACACAATACTGAAACACACCTATTTATAGGGACAAACTCACCGCAAACTAGGTTCACGGTCGTGAACACCTACATAGCTGTAAACACACAAAGAACAACAACGTCAAACCCTACCAAGACTTATACATAGAGAACCTAGCCCAAACCACATAAATTTGACCTATCAACAGGTTTTGACAAAATCTGTAGAAAATTCTCATTATTTTGGAAAAATTAACGATTTGTTTTCATGACCTACTAAATAAGTCAAAAGGGATAAAGTGAATAAATTAGTCGGTTTATTGGGCTTTTCTATTCAAAAAGTTAAAAAGTCGGGACTTTTCTGTTCAAAAAATAAAATTTAGGACTATATTAAAAACTTTTCCCAAAATATTGGGACTTTTCTGAAGATTTCCCTTTACGAGGACATCAACTTTGTTTAGATTGTTTTTTATAACGAGCAACCGATCTTCATTTCACTTTTTGTGACACACACATTGTATTGTGTGGAACGCAAAACTTCAAAAAATCATAACTTCTGCATACGAAGTCAGATTTTGGCTGTCTTTATACTTATGGCTTCATAATTACGACGACTGCGACTTTCGTTCAAATCATTTATCCTGAATACTCTTTTATCAAAAATATTATTTTATCGCTTAACGATAAATTTTATATTAAGATTTTCTACAAATATTATATACTCATAATATTTTTCATATAACGTGTATATGATAATATTTATATAGCTCGTAACGCGTATAAAAAAACAATTTCCCTATTCAAGAATTTTAATTGTTTGATAAAATGTATAATTATTATTATTATACTTTAAACGTATATCCTGAATTTGCGGGCATTACATTAGACCATAAAAAGCCTCTCGAAGGCCGGGGGATTGGTCAACTAGATAAAAGCCTCTCGAGGGGAGTCTACTTGAATCAGTAAGTAGTGGTCGTAGATCGGACAACTTGAGAAAAGCCTCTTTGAGGGAATCTAATTGATCCGGTAAGTAGATTTATTAAATGATACAATTATATGTCATATGTTACAATGACATATAATATATGATTTATTACATGATATTTATGTGTTATTATATGTATTGCATATGATCTGTGGCATTGTGATTCTCACTAAGTCATGGGCTTATAGTTGCTACTTAAATTCTTTTAGCATGATCTTCAGGTGTGAGGAAGGGAGAAGATGCATGATTATGACATCTAGGCATTCCCAAGGCATGACATTTATCTATCTAGTATTTATTAGTCTATGAGATATTTTTCAAAACACTTTTATGATCCCTTACTTTTCTGAATTTGGTTGCAATGCTTGTGACAAGACATGATTTTGCAAATTAATGTGGTATTATGATTTAAAATATTAAATTTTATTAGGATCATTTCCTCTTATTTCAGAAAAAAATGGTTCAAAATTTTGGGGTGTTCCAAAGCTATAACATGTTTATAAGTTTATTCTAATGCTTAGATTTCAAAACATATCTCTCATTATTCTTTAATGTCAATTTTGGTATTTCAGCCCATTAAAGTTTCAAAGAACGAAAACTGTTAATATTTTTTCGTCAAATTACCACCATGTTTCCAACACTTTATAATTGACATTACAAGTGTATTGTATCTTTGCTTGTATCTTTTTGTGCCAAACTGTAAATTGTAGTGTAGCTGTTGATTTTTTGTCACTTTTAGACTTAACCACGATACATCTTTTGCGGGGATTAGTCCGTGTGTGAAAGCTGACCCGGAAACCTCGTTAGGGAAGTTCCCTTTCCAAAAAAAAAAAGACCTTGTTATTTTTTATTTCTTACCTTTTTACACCATAATGAATCATAATATTCAAGTCTTGGGTTGCTTCTCAAAAATTTTATTTTTTGTGCTTAAACGACCATTTAACTAAAATAATTCAACTTTAGTCTTTTTACAACTAAATGATGGTTTGAATGGTGTTTAACCAAATACTTGTGTTTCTAACTCAATGTTACCATCTAGTAGTTTCAAAATGTTAAGACTTCGTTAAATTTCTTTTGCCTTTTACTTAGGCATAATCCAATAAACTTCACTTATTCCATTCGTTTTGTTATTAGTGATTGAATTCCTCATTCCATTCCATTCCATTCTTACACATCTTGCTTGTGTTTTAAACTTAACATTATCATCTAATAATATACATTGTCCCAAAATATCAAAACTTTAAATAGCTTTTTAATCATAAACATCAAATTCCAATCATTGTCCCATTTTAGACTTTTACTAAAAGTCAATATGCCCCTTTTTAGCTGAGTGATTACTACCACGCTAAGTAGTTCCATTTTTTTAGTTTTAGGTCTTTCTAACTCACTACTAATGGTATTTCATAAGTCCAAACTTAATTCCAATATACATCCAATGTATTCCAAGTAATTCTATTTAAAACATTTTGTGTTTGACTCCTTAAAAATTCAAATCTGTCCATTTTAAACAATTTAACGATTTACTTGGAAAGTTTCCTTTACTAGCAGGTTTTAACCATTCTCAAACAATGCATGTCAAATATCAATACATTTATATTTTTCTTTCATTTTTCTCCATACTCCATAGTTATTTATTAATAAGTACATTTACATCCTCCTTATAACCTACAAGTATGGTACAAACGTAAAAGTCAAAGCTAATGTTCCAATGTAAATTCCCCAAGTTTACTTGAATTTGTGTCACTCCCATCTCCTTTGATGATGTTAATATGTAACTAAGATCAATTTCAACTTACACATTGCAATTTTTGTTTCCAATTAATAGTTTGACTCCAATCAAAGTCAACTCTATTGTATCTAAGATTGTTCAAGTTCAAAGCTTCATAGCTTCCTGTTTCCAATAGAAGAGACAGAGAGTGTTCAATCTCATCTCTAGAATAAAACTCAAAATTCCCAATATATTTACACATAACATACAAATTTGTGACAACGGATAAATCAACCGATTTTTCCACACATGAAAATCATGCTTATGGCTTCTGAGACCTACCGGTTTTTCTCCATCCTTGTATCTCTACAACAAACACACACACAAACAACCAAAATCTCAAATCAACAAACCAAAAATTCTCTCTCAACAAAATAATAAAAAAAAATTAATTAAATACCTGTATAATCAATTTTATAACCAACCGAATCCCTAAACCAACTCGGTGTGGGCCCATCAACCTCCATAGACTTAAAAAAATCACGCCGACATAAATAATACGTTTCTGTGCTTAGCTTAAATCTAGAAAGATCTCCCAAAAGACTCTCTTCCCATTCCATGTTATTTTCCATGTCATCATCTTCATTAGCATACACAAGCTTTGCACCACATTCATGCACTTCCAATCCATTTTCCACAATGAAACACACGTTGACTTTATCACCAATGTCTAATAGGTTTCCCATTGACCAATGGCTTAACCATATTGCAACTTCATTGAATTTAGGTTTGCCAAATACCATTGGGTTGTAGATTAAATCGAGACCCTTGGTTGTGTTGGTGATTTTAGCGAATATTGGCCATAGGTGTTTTTCTTCGGTGATTGTATATTTGAAAGTTATGTTGAGGCCTTTGAGAGTTTTAGGAGATGGAGGTATGGTGAAGGATAAGGATGAGGATTGGGAGATGTAGTTGGGAGTTATGTTTGGATTGGTTATGTTTGGGAGAAATGTGCTTGTGATCCCGAATTCATATAACATCTGTGCTACACAAGGTATGGGATTCAGTCATTCGTAGGATGGAATCAGGGAAGGAATGGAATGGAATGAGAAATTCCGTAGGATAGGAACGAAAAATAAAAAACATGTTTGTTTTGTCCGATGGAATGGAATGAGTAATTCCTGAAGGAATGTGATTCTTTCTATTTTGTTAATGGTTCGTTACATAAGAATAAAAAAAATATGTTTTTCCCCATGGAATGGAATCGACCATTCCTAAAGGAATGCGATTCCTTCCATTTTGTTAATTTTCGTCCCTTAATGAGTGGGTGTTTTTCTTTTCATTCCATCGTGAAATGGAATGAAAATTTGCAATATAACCCATTTTATTTAGGGTTTTATGCAGAAAAGTCTCATTATTTTGGGAAATTTTTTGATAAAGTCCTAAAAAAAATTTGAACAGAAAAGTCCGATTATTTGATTTTACACGATAATTTGTCATTTCCTATTAAAATAAAAATAAGGACTTTTTCGTTAATTTGGGCAAAAAATTAAATAATCGGGACTTTTCAATTCAAAAAAAAATTAGGACTTTATCAAAAAATTTCCCAAATAATAGGATTTTTCTACATAAAACCCTTTTATTTATGCAATTTTTATTGATTTCCTTGTTATTATGATTCAATTACAATTTTATTGTCTAGAATAATTATAATGTAACTTATTGAGGTTTCAAGAGCTTTTATTATATTTAACTTTTTCTTTCAAAGTAAAAGTTTGTTAACTATAATTAAAATAATATATAGAATAAGTTCAAATTATATATTATACTTGGATATAACATTTACACCAAACCAAACATGATCATGGAATGCAATAACTCATTCCATTACCTTTTCTTATTCCATTCCATTCCCTTGTCATTCCATTCCATCCAACCAAACAAACCCAATTCGTATCTCATGTATTTGAGCAAAAAAAAAAAAAAAAAAAACAAAGAACCTGGATATGCCGAGTTCTTCCAGATGTAAGCTGATAATCACCAATTAAGGACACCTCAAGATCTTGATAATCTTTAAGCCACTTCATATCCCCCAAATCCCTTTCATCAATTCTAAAAATTGGCACCAATTTCAAAAGCCCTTCAACTTCCAACAAATTAATACAACCTTCATAATCAAACTCCCTCAATGTAAACCGATGTGATTGAAAACTTATATTCTCCAACAACTCACAACAAGTAGTAAACAACTCTTCTAATGTATTCGGAAGACACTCAATTCTCTTAAGTCTTGAACAAAAACTCAACTCAAGAACCCTTAAACCCTTAAGATGATTGTAATCAGGCAAAAACTCAAACAAATTATTCCCTAAATGCAAAATACTGCAACACTGAGTGGATTTGGAAGCTCAAAATTGAGTAATCATTAAGCTCAAGGTTGCAATTTTTAAGCCATATTCGCTCTAATGAATGTGGAAACTTAAGATTTGAGCCTCTTAAGAGATGTTCACATCCTGTGATGTTTAAACGAGAAAGACTTTTTAAGTCTTCAATGGTGTCACAAACATGAACTAAACTGTAACAGTTCCAAAGAATCAAAGTCTCAAGATTAGGAAGTCTGGAGATGTTGCAGATTTTGAGGAGACTATGTGAGTCTTTGAAGTTTAGAATCTTCAATGGTTTAATTACCTGTTTCATAAGTAATAAAAATTGTTTAGCACCTTTATAAACAAGAAGTTAAAAGGGAAAAAGATTTGTTGACTTTTCAAAAAGAAAATAAGTCTAGAAAAGTGTGTGGATAGCAAATAAGCACTTTTAAAAGTAGCTTTTCGTTTCCTTCAAAAAGTCATTTTTAAAAGGTTGATCTCAAAAAAGACCTTGTATTTTGTGTTTTTTCCGGATTAAACCTCGAATTTACTTTTTTCCTGAAAATGACCTTGTATATTTTCATTTTTTCCGAAAAAGCCCTCGACGTTGTATTTTTTTTTTCTGAAGAAAACCCCTCAACCTTCTAAATGCTTCCAAATAAACCCTCAACTTTTTTAGTTTTTCTCGAAAAAAACCTCACATTTTACAACTTTTTTGGCAAAAAATGACTAAAAGGGCCAAATCGGAAAAAATGAAAAAATACAAGGTCTTTTTCAGGCAAAAAATATATTTGAGGTTTGATCTGGAAAAAACACAAAATATAAGACCTTTTTTGAGAATGACCTTTTTTACAAAAGTTAGAGTTTCCTTACTTTTTGAAAATTTGAAAAAGCTTATAACTTATTACTTTAAAAAGACAATACTACCCTCCAAACCTACCATTTCTTCCTTTCACGTCTTAAATAAACTCGGCTACTTCATGAACTATGTAAAAGTATTACATAATAATGTCCTTTTTGGTCATTTTACATATATAAGCTAATCCAAATTCCAAACACTTCATAAAAAACCAACTTATCAACTTATAGCTTTCTGATAACACATAAGCTAATCCAATTCCAAAGTCCAAACACTTTTTTAAAAACTCATATTTGCCACCACATAAGCTAATAACCATTTTTGTCAAAAAAGTGTTTATTTAGTTAAGTAAGAAAAATCCCAAACACCCCCTAAAAGTATAAGTAGGTATTAATGTGTACCATGGGTGGTTCAAAGAGCTGCAATCTGCTGTAACTCATGTCTATGGCAACCAAATTTCCCATGAAGAAATCAGAAGGAATTGTCCCTAATTGAAATCCATGCCAACATAACCATCTTAAATCTTCTGGAAAATCATCATATGATCCACTTAATTCCACATAATTGAGCTGAAGCAACTTTAGATTATCCATTTTTGCAAGTGAATCTGCCTCAAATGCTACTGGCTGAAAATTTATTGAAAAGTGAATTACTTAGCACCTTGTTTTGTTTTAAAGAATTTCCTTAAATGGGTTGACTTTTTGAGATATGTTATATAAGGGTTAATCTCATAGAAGACCTGATATTTTGTGTTTTTTTTTCAGGATTAAACCTTGACTTTATTTTTTCCTGAAAAAGACCTTGTATTTTTTTCATTTTTTCTGAAAAAACCCTCAACTTTGTCTTTTTTTCTGAAAAAAACCCTCGATCTTCCAACTGTTTCCGAAAAACCCTCATATTTTACAAGTTTTTTTGGGTTAATCTCATAAAAGACCTTATATTTTATGTTTTTTTTCTGGATTAAACCTCGACTTTAATTTTTTCTTGAAAAAGACTTTGCATTTTTTCATTTTTCCCGATCTGGCCCTGTTAGTCATTTTTTTCTAACTTTAACATGCGAGGGGTTTTTTCGGAAGAAACTAAAAAAGTATAGGGTTTTTTCGGAAACAGTTAAAAGGTTGAGGGTTTTTTTCAGAAAAAAAGACAAAGTTGAGGGTTTTTCTGGAAAGAAATGAAAAATTACAAGGTCTTTTTTTGAAAAAAAAAAGAAGTTGAGGTTTAACCCGGAAAAAACCACAAAATATAAGGTCTATTATGAGATCAACCCATTATATAACTTTAAAACCTTGGCCAAAAATAAAAATAGTCAAACAGGTCAAAAGTCAAAAGTCAAAAGTCAGAAGTCAACCCAAGCTGTAGTCAAATGCATTACCATGGTATCCTTCTCTTCTCTCACTAGTCGCATGTCAAGTGCTAAACCTTCTATAGTTTCTGAACCCTAAAAAAAATGTAACAAAAGAATGTTAGTTGAAAATTAAAATAAAGAGCTAAAAAGTAAGTGTAAAATGTATACATATAAAGCATCTTATTCTTACCTTTCCTTGTCTTAACAAAGTATAAGATTCATCATTACACCAAATTCTACTCCTTTTTGCAGGATTTAAAGGTGATTCATCAAGCACCATTCTTCTAGCCATATCTATGAACAATCCATGCATCATCAATTTCTTACTTGGTGAAACAGTAAGAAGACATCTTTTAATTAAAGTTACAATCCCAGCTGTTGCACAATAATCAGGCTCTAATATCTTCACCACATAATCTTCATCTTCACCAATAAAGAAACAAGCAATATGCAAAAACAACTCTCTGTAAGTCAAAAATGGCAAATACTCATAGCTCATTCTGAGTATCCCTTGTATTCTATAATCAGGATCTCTTTCCAACAAATTCAATGTACTTATCCAAAAATCTATGTTATTTCTTTTTCTTGGATCTTTAGAACTAACAAATAAAGAACCGAGTAGTTTAAGAGCCAATGGATTTCCTGAACAATATTCTGCTGCTTTTGATGCAAGCTCCTTGAATCCTTCCATGGGGATTTTGGATCCAAAAGCATACCAACTTAAAAGCTCTAATGATTCATGTTCGTTTAATAACTTGAGTTTATGCTCTTTACACTTTAAATATGTAGACATAAACCATGTTTGTATAGTTGGAAGCCTACTTGTGATAATAATCTTGCTTTCTGTATTAATCTTTTCAGATCCAAGTAAAGCTTCTAGTTGTTCCTTTTTGTCAATGTCATCAAGAACAATAAGCACTCGTTTCTTTTGTAACACGTTTTCAATCTGACTTTTATACCGAGTAACATCGAGTTCTTTTTTCTTCTCCTCCAAAATATCTGCAAGAAGTTGTTCTTGTAGTGCACATAAACCATAAGGTTGTTCACAGATCTTTCCAATGTCTTCAAGGAAACTACTGCTTTCAAACTTTAACAAGTTGGATTCGTATATATATTTGGCCAGTGTTGTCTTTCCACTTCCTGCCATGCCACAAATTGTAAGAACTTCAGCATCTTGTTTATCTTTCACCCAAAAATTTATAGCTTCAGCTCGTGTGTCCATTCCTGTTAGATGTGGTGGAGTAGAAACTAATTTGAGACGTAGCTTATGGCCAATTGTGCTAACAATATCTGCTATAAACTTCGTTTCAGGCCTGAAAAAATGAAAGTGGAAAAATTAACATTCAGAATATTTGGCATTTAAACTTGTTAAAAAGTTAGACAAACACTTTTATTAAGTATCAAACATGTGGATTGTGGCCAATTACACATTCCAAATTCTTGGGGAAAGACCGAAGGAGGTAGTATTTGGGAATTGAAATAAAAGTTTGAGTTTCTCTAATGCAAATATATGCTTCAAGTTTAAAACAGTACTTTTAGTTAATGAGTTTATGGACAAAACTATTGTTAAATGAACTGATGAACTCCTAAAGTTAATAGCTAAGAAGCATAAGATAGGATTGTTGCAGTTTTCATTGGGTCAAGTTCTTAATAAAGACCAATCATTTAGAGTTTTTAAAGATAAACTTTAGCTCTACTTGAATTGGGGAAAAATAAGATACAATTCAATACCTAACAAAAGCAAGAATGGAGTCAAAATTCATACCCAGTAAGAACCTTGCCCTCCAAATTAGCAACCTCTGTAAGGGCTGCCTTCCACCGTTCCACCTTAATTTGGAACCCTTCGACATGGGTGTTGACTTTTAAGGCAAAACTATTTTCTTGTTCTCTAACATGGGAGGGATCAACATGATAAAAAACAGGGATAACTATATGATAAAAGGTCTTTCTTCGTTCCATGATCAACACAAGCTCGTCAAGGCACGAAGTTGAATTTGCATAATTTTTTGACAATACAACTATTGAAGCCCTAGATGCTGTGATTGCTCTTTCTATTTCGGGTTTCAGATCTGCAACTCTGCTGATTGAATCATCGTCCCGGAATGTTCTAATTCCTGCTCCCACTAACGCCTCGTAGAGATGATCGGTAAAGGAGAAGCGAGTATCTTCGCCTCTAAAACTTATGAAAACGTCGTACCTGCTGTTATTTGTCGCCGGAGAAGCGATTGTACTGGAGGAAGCAGAAGAAGCCATCAGAAATGGAGAAAGATCCCGAAAGTAGAGATTTTTAAAGGGTTAGAAATTATGGTCTTCTTCGATCAGATGGAACTTGGAAGAGTACTTGAGTGGTAATGGAAGACTTGGTTGTCCTACGTAATCGCTTTCCTCAACTAACACTCATCGGACAAAACAAGGGTGTGGTATGTGATGTATTTCATTTTGATTAAATTTGTTGTATTCTTTTTCTCTTCTATTAGAAAACAAATAAACAAATTAGGTTTGCTGATTTCTTTTATTTAAGTCTCTAAACTTTTAATTTCGCTTACCCTTCCCTCAACTGAAATGGGCTATTCTAACCCTCTAACTCACCTTTTTTCTTTTGTTAAAAAAAGATAAAAGACCCAAGTCACTTAAAGATCAAAAAAATAAAAATAAAAATCTAAAATGCAAATTAAATAAAAATTCAAAAAATTTTAATTATTATTTTCTTCATTTTATTTATCCAAAAAAATTACCGTTTTTTCTAAATATACGTGAAATATTTTAATAAAATATTACACAGTAAATATTCAAATATAACTTTTAAATTGTTAGAATATTCTGGTATTCTACTAGAGTTCTATTAAATTGTTAGAATTTGTAGAATATTCTAATACTATATTAAAATTGTTTGAATATTTGTAGTCTAATTTTATAGTAGAATATGTAAATAATTTAATAATTTTGTTGTAATTTTATAATAGAATATTCTATTAGAATATTTCACAAATATTTCAAAAAAAACGATATATTTTTTATTTTATTTTTTTTTTTTTTTGAAAAATATAAATGACGAAAATAATATTTACAAAAATTTTGAAAACTTTTAATTATTTTTCATTTTAAAAATATAATTTTTATCTCCAACATAAATGGCTAGAATTGTGTCTCCAAGTGTCACAAAATATAGTAGTCTCAAATATATATATATATATATATATAATATATATATATATATACACACACTAGTAGGATACCCGCGCGATGCGGCGACGGCGATTAGTTTCATTTCGGGGATTGGTTTCCAATCGAAAGGTAGTTTCATTTAGGCGGTCGTCAAATTGTTTCCTTTTGATTTGTTTAATTTCGAAGATTTGTTCCTTTTGGCGATTAGTTGTCTATAGACGGGCTTCAAATAGTATTTCCCATGTATTACCCTTCTTTCCACATATAGTATTAAGTCGATGAATATATGCTTCGGCTATAGTATTAAGTCGATGAATACCCTTCTTTCCGCATATAGTATTAAGTCAATGATTTTGGTTAAGATAAAACCACATTATTTTTTATATTAAAAATAAAAGTATTGTGTTGCCTTTATAATTTTGTTAATCACTTATGTCGATACAATTTTTATTATTTTACATTAGGAAAAGAAAAGTCGATAAAACCAAACATCAATGTAGAAGTGGTGATTAAAAATATACAAATAGCAAGAATATTTTATGAAACAATTTTTTTTGTGTAAGACTGGTTTGTTATATGCAACCCTGTGCAACACACACCTTGTAAATTTACACATCCTACCAACACACACCTAGTATATTTACACAACGTGTTGCGAGCATCCACTTTTCATTAGAATCTGTGGTGACAAACCACCCAAGCCGCCAACCAGGAACGATATCATTAGGACCCATAAAAAACATGCGTGAAAGTCCCTAGCATATCCACAAGGATGGTTCAATATTTCTCTAATAGCTACAATTGACTCTCTCCAAGGAACAAAACATGATGCAATTAATAATCAAAGATAGCAATAAACAATTATATTTGATGAAAAACTGAGAAAGACGCTACTTGTCGTTGAAATCAGCCTCAAATCTACAAGTGATGATAAGAAACACTTGCTCAAGGACAGGTTCAGTCTTTAGTGTCTTTAGTGCAGACTTGCACAAAACCTGAACATGGTAGCCAAGAATAGTGTAAGTTAGCGACTTAAAAACCTACAAGGATTCCATATTAACTCTAAATGGTAGAGAATAATGGTCATTCTTTCATATTCAAATAGTTCATTCAGAAAAACAATATAGAAAGAAGGCATACTTGTATAGTTTTTATAATATACGCACAATCAGATCCACCACATTTACAGTATCTTCTTTCACTTCTTTTCAGTTATTGCAAGTCTGCAATCCAAACAATAATTTAAGAAAAGGAACAAACCAAAATATAAAAATAACCACAATTCATGTGTCATATTGGTACAGTAGAATGACTTAAATACTATATAAAATAAACATAACAAACACCAACTAAAATATGGAAGTAAACATTGTAATTATGTGATTTTTACACTAAAATGACCAAAACCAAGCACATACTTAGCAGAACGACCAGACCAGCTGTTAGTCATTCAAAACATTCCCCAAGCATCAGTAGTTCGATCTTTTAGGTTTACTTTTGATCAAAAATATAACAAGCATATGCTTTAAGTTTTAACCATTCAAATAATAGTAGATTTGCTCATGAGTAGAAAATTAGTTTTCACAAATATGTGCACAATAGACTTGGGAAAGTGTCAGTTTTGGGTTTTGAAGATACAATTTTTCTGCATGTTTTCATTACAGTATCATACATTCAAAATTTCTAATAAAACCCTTGTGATGAAACCCTATGACATATCAAAAATCTAATCATTTTTCTGCAATAAAGAAGCAAATCGATATAGGAGTCTATTGCCATAAAGCATTTACCTTGAAAATCTAGCTTTGCATTTACTCTTGTTGTATCCCCATAACACATATTACCAATTTCTTGGACCTGATGATGCATAACAAACCTACATGTTAGAATATTTATTAAAGCCTTTTGTTACATTAAAAAGGTAAATTACCATTGAAGCATTTTATAAACCAAATAAGATCTATGATAATTCAATTGTACCGGAAAAATTATAGGTGCCTTTCTACAAAACATTTTATAAACCGAATAAGATCCGATTTCCCAAATATCACACGTCATATTTCCCAAATATCACACGTCATAATATAAGCATGGAAATTTAATGATTGATGCTAAATTTCACAAAAACATATGATTCGAACAACAAAAATCAATAATTCTCAAAATCTTCTCAGAAATACACATTAAATTCAAAACTTATTATACTTTATTAAAACTTGATGATTTAAAAACTCAAACTATCAGGGTTAGATTCAAGATTAGTAAAAGAGAGAAAAAGAACCTTGAGAGGTAAGCAATATACAAGTCCTTTTCCTTATGCCCAATCCCATTTCCATTCCTTTTTACCTTTTCTTTTTTTTGTAACATTACCCTCTTCATCCACCGGGTAAACATATCATTATTTCTGCACAACCAAAATTAAATAAATGAAGAAAAAACAGGGCTTAACAGTAAAAGTACAATGAAACCATCTGTAAACAAAAAAGAAATGCATTAAAAAAAAGAATACAAAAATCATGGAATCTTGTAAAATTACAGAAAAGCTTAATACATTTCAACATCTATAAGCTTTTTTGTCCCATTTTGATACATTTCAACAGCATATGCTTGTCTTTCTGCACCATATTACTATTTGTTCTATTTAAAACATATAATTACAAAGAAATAGAACTCGAAATATACCTATTGTGAGTTGTTGTTGTTAATTCTGTCTGAACCTAGACGACATAAAACAAACCAAAATCAAGAACCATAATAAACACAAAATATTAAACAAAAAGTACCTGTTTAATTGTTGCTTCTCGTTTCTACAACAAAAAGAGTGAGATAGAGGAGATCCGGCTCCATATCTATCCATGGAGTGTATATGTGAGAGAAAGAGAAAAACCATGGTCAAGTCTAAAATAATTAACCCAAAACTGACATCCATATGAACTTGTGTATTTGAAAAGCAAGTCAGAATGAAAAAGCATACCTGATTATATACAAACCTTGGATTGAGGCAGACCTGAAAGATGGTGGTTGTTAAGAGTGACAATTTAGGGTTAGATAGATGGGTTAATGGCAGCAGCGGAGTTGGGTTGTGATGTCGGAGAGCAACGAAAGAGGCGGCATCAGCTGGTAGAAACCACCTACAATCCATCAGGAAGACAAAAACCTTTGAAATCGACCAATAAATCCAAAAAAAACATTAAAAATGCTAAAACTAACCTGAAATTTCAGCAAATGCTTGTAAGTATGTAGTGCTTGCCTCTTGTTTCTGCAAGAGAGAGAGAGAGAGAGAGAGAGAGAGCTAGATGAAGACATGCGAGGCGGGTGAGTATGCATAGATCGAGCAGGGGAGACAGTCGTGGCCGTCGTTTAGGGTTTCCAGATCCAAGCGAGTCTAGGGATAGAGTTTTTGGTGGTGAAGTGGTGGTACGATTGCAGAGCCCTGGTGGTCCGGTGGTTCGTTGGTGAGAGGCAGTTGTGCCAATGTTGGTATTTCAAGGGTTTTTCAAGAGCTAGAGAGAGAGGGGGTTGCAGAGAGAGGGTTTATGTATGAGAATGGGGAGAGATTCAAAATTTGAAATCGGGGTTTATGTGTGAGAGTATGAGAGCATGTTTGAAATTGATATTAAGATAGGTACAGCCTGTCATTGACCGGAGAGGGCAGACAAGCTGTATTTTATTGTATACCATACTTTATAAGTTATAATTAAGACTAAAAAGACATATGTTTTTATAATATAATATAGATTTTATAAAATACTTGATTTTGATTGGTTTAAATTTATTTACATGGATCACTATCCTAACCATTGAATGAAATTCAAATGCCAAAAATTCATCTCCTCGTTTTTAAGACTTTGATCTTAAAAAATGCATTATCCTTGTATTATAAAGTAATATATATATATATATATATATATATATATATATATATTATATATATTATATATATATATATATATATATATATATGGTTAGGTTATAATGTGTATGACATTTATTGTGTGGTCGTAAAGATAATTTTGGACCAATAGATGAATATAATGAATGGTCATGAGTTGAGGGTCTATGATATTACTATGAGGTATCATATACTATATAATCATATAAATTTTAGTATAAGGGTATTTTAGTCAATTAAACTACATTTAAAAAAGGAAACTTCGAATTTTTAGGGGTAATTAATTCTCTTAATTTTAAAAATCTGATTTTAATAGATAATAATTCTTTTATTTTGGGTCATTATAGCATAATATGTTTATGAGTATCTTGAACCATTCTTGAACCATAAAAGAATAAATATTCTGACATAATACATACTTTGATGGAATGAACTTTTTGAAGAATAACAAATTACTGAACCATCAATTGAAGAATAAAAACAAAAATTACACTAATTCTTAAAGAATATGGATAACAATTGCTAAGAATTACATTTATTGTTACAGAATAAAACTAAGAGCGGTTAAAAATTGAAAAAAAAAATCAAAATCTAACAAAAGACACTAATACATTATAAAAAAAATATTGTTGCTAAGAATCACTTTCAATTTTGCGGTCCGTTCTTCAATTATCTGTGAAACCAAATCCAATTGTAGATTAGAACCCTATAATACATTAGCAAATGAAAAATAAAAAACTAAAGTCTTTTGTACAAATCGGAAGACCTGTAAATTGCACCAAAATCCATAACCAATAATTGTAGAAAATGCACAAATTAGTGATGAAATAGATTGATTCCATTTCGACAGAATTGAAATTCGTGATTCCATTCCGACAGAACTAGATTCAATTCTGGCAGAATATTATAAAATTTCTCTATATATGTGAAACTAAACATTTCTAATAACATTAATTTATCCAAAAATATAAATTGAATCCCTATTTAAGAATGTAAATTGTTTCATTTAAACTAATCAACTAAACGACTAATCTATCACTTAATTATTTTGCTTTTGTGTCAAACTTAGAGCCTATGCATTTCCATTAGATTATAGCCCATTTATTCCAATAATAAGCACAATGATTTGTGTCATGCATATGGCTTAAAGGAAAATTAATAAACTGAGGCAACTCATGTTTGCATATCTTCTGTGGCTAGTTATTATATGTGAAAATAGATATTTCATTTTTTGTACTAATTCTGTAAGTAGCCGAAGACTCAACCTCCAGCCAAGGTGTCACCAGAGAAATTTCATTTTCAGCCGGAATGATCTCCAATTTAGCCCACGACTGAAACTTACATTCTCATAGAAATCAACAACTACACATTGAACAGTCGAACAATAATAAACAAAACTATATATTAAATCCAAAAGTAAACAAAACTACTTAAAAAAGTTTTAAAACAAAAAATTGTCTCTACCATGTATAAATTTATGCACCGAATGATGTTTCCCACTTTTTAAATCAAAAAACTAAACAAAACTACTTCACAATGTAAATAGTCGGCTAGTCCCATTGACTTTGTTGGTCAGAGTTAATGAGAAACTAGAAAGGAGTATACGATAGTCAAAAAATGAGAATTTTTAATGACTAAATCCAGCAATCTACATATATGGATTTAATGAGTAAATCCAGAAATTATGAAAATAGAAGGCCAATTTTGAAACACAAACCTGTTTGGCAATTATAACATCATGGTGTGGTTCGGTCAAGATCGAAGAAGGGCGAAGAATTGTTTGATCATTGAGTTTTATTTTTCTGATTTCAGCACTGTGAGAGTGGCAAGATGATGATGCTTGATGGAGCACTTGTAAATCGCGATTCAAGATACGTAAACGAAGAATGGATCACAAAGAGATGCCGTGATGATTTTTCCAAAAAATCGGCAAGTGATTGAGAACAGATGGAGACGATGAACAAAAAAGTTAACATAAATATAGCATCAATCTAAAACAACTTACCAAGATTATAGGCTTTGATTTAAATTCAATTAAATGATTTATAAGTCATTTACCAAACTACCCTTATTTGATTAATTAATTTTTTATTTTATTTTTAAAATCTGATTGGTTCCTACAACCACACAATAATTATTCATCAACATATGAACCTAACTATATAACTATATATATATATATATATATATATATATATATATATATATAGGTAAAGGTTCAAATGAGAACCAAAAAAGATTAAGAACTCTAAGAACCACTCTATTTTAACTTATATTAAGTGTATTTTTTGTCAATTTAAAATATCTGATTTATTTTAAGATTTAATAAATGGCTAAAATCAATAAGGGCAAGATGGTCATTTTGATAATTTTAACATCACAATCCTAACGTGAGACTAAAAAACAAGATCTGATCATTTTTTTTCTTACATTCAAACTCTCATACCCACCTTCAAGAACTCAAACACAAGCCATCTTACTATCATCACCAACTACCACCATTACCGCCACCTACCGTCGATGCCGCCATAGACCGCCGCCACCGTATACCGCCATCATCGTCGTAGATCGTCGCCATCTCATTCTCTTCGATTTTTGGTGAAACAACACCAGATCTACATCAGATCCGATGTGTTTAACACATTTCAGGTCTAGATCTGCAACAGATCACCACATCAGATCTACTCCAGCACCTCTTCTTCTTCTTACCGGCGAGGCTAGATCTGTCGTCGCCTTTGCCTGCTAGCGCTGCTGCTACCAATGCCGAAGTTAACGGATTTCAAGCCACTCCTCTGTTGTTCATACTGTGAACTGATTTCAAAAACGATGCCAAACAAACACCGTAATTGTAACAGTCGATGCCAACTAACACTCTCACCGTCGAACGCAAGTATCACCGCAGATGTCTTCCTCCACACCTTCAGATTTGTGTTCGTCTTCGACCTCTGACCTCGCCAAAACATCATAAAACATGTCATTCTCTGTTTTTTTGGTGATGTAACACTGATGACCACTTTTCTCCAGTGAGGATCCACCACCTACCTCTAGATCTGCTTTCAATTCCTCTAGATCTACTTCCTATTCCTCCAGATTTGCATCTGTTTTCTCCAGATCTGTTTTGTTTCTGACTGTATCCAGCAACCTTGTTCATCTCCGACCACGAAGGGCCTTTCATCTGTGACAACATATGCTCAGATCGATGCTTATCTCACTGTCTTCTTCGATGAACATGCTCTCATCCTCTCACATTGTGTCATTTATGACAAGCATTCTATAGATCCAGTGGAGTTTCACTCAAATCGAGGTAACATAACTTCATATTTGCTTTTGTGCTTGAAGTTTTTGTGTTTTAATGCATATTTTGAACACATAATTATGATTTTGTTGTACCAGTAGTTGTTTATATCATGATATGTTTAGCAAAATGATAGCTTTTTTTGCCATGTCGATGTGTTTGATTTTTATGAATTGATTGTCCTTTCTTCAAATTTATGTGTTTATGATTGTATCTGTAACAATATATTGTTAAGATGATTTTTTTCTGTTGCATGAGTCATACAATAGGACGCACACAATGTGTTTGATGATTTGTTCAATGAAATACATCAGTTTTAACATGTTATTCTTTTTTGGATATATTTTTTTATTAAACTTTAAAAAATATATATAAATATATAATTTTTTGTGTTATACATATATTTTCTTAAACTATAAATAATGAATGAATGGTTGTATTAAACTTTGAGCGTATGCATTAAAATGTGAATACGAGTATCACAAGTTGTTTGCTGAGCGTATGGATTAAGCTGTGAATTATGATGTTTCTACTATTGTTTAATTTTGTTAATGTTAGTTTAACTGTTATTAATAAGAAAATATAAGTTTTAAATAGTGAATTCATGAGTTTTATATGTTTTAAGTTATGACTTAGTTATAAACAAGTCTATTAAGTTGAGAATATGGTTGCAAATGTATAATCTTTATGTATTAAATTGTAAATTTATTATACTAAGTTGTGAAATTTATGTATTTAATTGTGAATTTGTTGTATTAAGCTGTGAATTGACTGTATTAAGCTATTAATTAACTGTATTAACTTGTGAATTTTGTATATTAAACTATACATTTATTATATTAAGTTGTAAATATTGTATATTAAACTGTGAATTGACTGTATTAAGCTGTGAATTGATTGTATTAAGCTATAAATTAATTGTATTAAGCTGCGATTTTTTATGAACGTACTATGAGATGAAAGAAACATTATACACATATATGATTTTCTATAATTTTGAATAAAATATGTAAATTTTAAACTGTGAATATCGTGTAAATTAAGCGTTGAAATATTAAATTAAGTTGTGAATTAATGTCTGCAATGATGAATTAAATTGTGAATTTTATTTTATTTTTTTTAATTAAAATCTGATTTTTGAGGGAAGGATGTTGGCGGTGTTGGCACCGATGGTTGATGGTCGAGATGGTTGATGGCAGTGTATGGTAGTTGGCGGTGTTGATGCTAGTGGTGGTGGTAAAGTAAGGATATGTTCTATTTCTCACTCATCTTCATCTTCTTTGCTAATTTCAGATAAGTTATCATCTTTTATGATTCATGCATATGTTTTGTTTTTATGTTTGCCTCCGAAATATGTGATCATTTATGTATGTTTTAAATTGTAAATGAGCTATTTATACCCTGAAATATGATATTATACTTATCATTGAGTTGTGAATGTATTGTATTAAACTATGAATTTTCTGTATTAAGTTGTAAATTTTATTCACATCTTAATACAATAAATTTACAATTTAATACAAAAAAATTCCTCCAGATATGAACGTATAAATATGAGTTTTAAGTTGAGAATTTGGTTGTGAATATATAATTTTGTGCATTAAACTGTGAATTTATTGTATTAAACTATGAATTTGTGTTTTAAACTGTGAATTGACCGTATTAAGCTGTGTTTTTTTTCTATGAATTTTGTGTTTACATCTGAAATATGTGGAGAAAGAAGCATTATACACATGTATGATTTTCTCTAATTTTAAATAAATTATATAAAATTTAAATTGTGAATATTATGTAAATTAAACTTTGAAAGAAGCTCTATCCTTCAGATCTGAAGGTATAAATGTAAGTTTTAAGTTAAGAATATAACAAACATTTATTAAATTGTTAAGTTATTATATTAATCTGTAAATTTTATGTTTTAAACGGTAATTGACTATATTAAACTATAAATAGACTGCATTTTGCTGTGAATTTTTTTATACATTTTGTGTTAAAATATAAATGATTTATGTATGAATTTTTGTATAAATGTTCTTGTGAATATATTTATTTTTGTGTTGTATACTTATGTAAGAATGCATTAATTTTTGTAATTGTTTTGTATTAAATTCAAAATGAGCAAATTGATAGGTTTATTAAATTATGAATGTATTATTTAACTTGTCATTGCATTACTTTATATGCAGATATGCTTTGTATAGAAGAATGGTTGTCATGCTGGCATAGGTGGTTGGTGACGGCATGTGGTGGTGGTGGTAGAGTTTGGATTTGACAATTCTTTGAATTTGTGAATTAGTTTAAAATTGATTGTATTAAGTTGTGAATTTTATGTATTAAACTGTAAATGAACTATATAAATTTGTATATCATATAATTTTTGTGTTAAGATATGAATGAAAATGTTAAGACTAGATTTTTTTACGATTTTACCATTTTCTTACCAAAAAGACAAAAATTGGGATTTTAACATATTTAGACAAATTCATAAGAAATATTTACTTATAAAATGAGGGTTCTTAGGGTTCTTAATCTTTTGTGGTTCTCATTTGAACCACTCCCTATATATATATATATATATATATATATATATATATATATATATATATATATATATTAGTTGTGAGACCCATGTAATACATGTGTTAATTTAAAAAATAAATAAATATAAAGGTCTAAATATTTTTTTATCTTGTAAAATGAAACAAATAATATAAGTAAATAAAAAAAAAACTAATGAGCTTTAATTTAGAAATTTTAAAATTAGAAGGTAAATCTATTAATGAAATTGATATACATTTATTACTATATTTAGTGCAATTATTAATTAAAACGTTATGTGGAATTTTATAAAATAGGGAAATCCATAAAATTGACATGTGGAAAAAAAAAATAATTCAAAATAACCACAAAATGACATTTGGCAAAATGAATGAGAGTGTGACATGTGGCAAAAAACCTTCATTTATTAGAGTATATATATATATATATATATATATATATATATATATATATATATATATATATATATATATATATATATATATATATATATATATATATATATATATATCAGGCGAAATATATCAGGCGAAAGCTCATGTGTTACGCATAAAATTACCTAGTTAAAATAGGAAAGAAATGTCATATTAAAATAACTGAATCATTATTTTTAACAATTAAATAATAATTTTATAATCACACTAAAAATGATTTTAAATGATATCATTATGTTGAACTATATAACTAAGTCGTTAAAATAAAAAAGAATGTAATTTGTTAAAAATAACTAAGTCGTTAGTTTTATCTATTAAATAATAATTTCGTACTAAATTCAAAAGTTTATTTTAAATGTTATCAACATGTAGAACAAATGATTAGATAGGCATCTTTTATAAGATTGGAACTTAAAATTGTAATAGTTACACGTTTGTAAACTCGTCCAGCTAAGCCAAATACTTGGCAAGTTACTCGAACTCGGAATCTAACCAAGGCGAGTTTGGCCAACTTAGGTATTAATCAAACTCAGTTCAAATCGGTCAAACTTAGATTGAACAAGTCAATATACCCAACAACATAAATTATTTTACTAAAAACGCGGTTGAAACCAGAAAAAAAAAATTCGGTCCAAAACCATTTCGAAAATCTAAAACTTAACAGGACACTTTCCAACAAAGACAATCCTACGAACGAATACCCCCAACGTCCTACAAAGACAGACGCAAGGAAGTCTTGGTCCTTTTAAAACATTTCACAATTTTTCCTATTTATTGAGGAGAAGACATTTTCTTGTTTACTCTCACCATCAACGTTAGATAAATAAAACAGACAAATAAATGTTACCCAAAAAATTATTGTTCAATAATTCCATTTTTTAATACTCTCGTAAGTTGTTATCCAAAAAAGTAAGTTTTTATTGAATAATTTTTGTTAAATCTCAAAATCATAAATTTCGTAATGCTACACTATTGAATATTAGATTTCTTATATATAGGAAGTAAGGTGTTAAGTTAGTAGGATCTCATGTCACTGTAGTCCGAACCTAAGAAACAAAGCAAAACGTCAGACTTGCACCGAGTGACTGGCCCGTGAGAACGCTCCGATGCCAAAGGCAGATGAGAGATATTGGATTTTTAGGGTTAATCGTGTGAAAAGGGTCAGAAAGTGAATAGCCTTTTGATGGTCGAGTGGATCCGCTTTTATACCCTTGTGCATGGGGAAACGGCGATAAAGACGGGCCGAATAGGTACCCGTCTCATCATCATTAATATGCCTAGTTCCGAAGGTACAAAAGTAGTACTTAGGATGTGTCGAGAGTCTTATCAGCATGTGTATGCAAGTTGTAGCAAATTATTAGTCCATTGCAGTCTATTGTGTGTCATTTCCTATGATCCTTTGATCAGACACCCTCGGATGCTTGTTCGCGACGTGTCTAACTACTCGAGTAGTTCGGGCGAAGTTCCACGGGTTCGGTCTGTTTCATTAGTACAACACATCAGCTCGAGTGCTATGTCTTCGGCTTGGCCTCGACCTGTTTTGTAACATCCATAAAAATCATGAAAATTTTAAACTTTTAAAAACCAACCCAAAATCACAAATTGTTTACAACATAGTTTTCAAAACATGTTCTATATCAGAGTTTCCCAGAATCATAATTCCAAAACATGAGGATGTGTATGGTCACGCCTTCGCCTTCCCGCGATCCTCTGAAGTACCTGAAACAAAACCCAAAACTGCAATCCAACGCTTAGTAAGTTCCCGCAAAGTACCAACACAATGCATAATCATAATAACAACAACAAACAACACGCATACAGAGCCTTCAGTCATACTGGAACCCCCCACCGGCCTACATTCTATCGGGTACACTCACATAACCTTCA